TTCTTATAATGCCATTGATAATGTTTCATTGGAAATTGTTACAATATATTCGAAAGTAAAAGTAAATAGATATAATATATCTAAATATTTAGTAACAAAATATCAATAAATATAATATATAAACACTTAATATACTAGATATTGACACACTGAAGTACGTAGAAATATCCACTGAAGTACGTAGAATTATCTACAAAAACTGACTGATGTCTCCCCGCAGAGTTCTGTCCTTAAATAGACACGCTGATTGGATTCGCACGAATTATTGTTACAATCAATTTCCTTCTTACCTCCTTGGTGTCCTTTAAAAATCCCTTTTTCCAAATATTCCGAACTCCAAGAAGGCCACGGAGATTTTCTCCAGATGGTGGAAACATGCGATTCTTCACTCTTTACGAACATTGAACTAGCTCACAGTGGGCCGGATCAAGAATTTTCACACTTTTAAATAACTCTTGATTCATAAAAGATATCGTAATGAAATCTGATATAAATATTTATAAAAAATATTCCTTTTCAATGATATACAATATGATATATTTCATATTTGTTTAATCACTGTTACATTTACAATTTATGTATATATATATATATATATATATCGTATATTAATAAAATATTAATGATCCAAGGTAATATTTATTATGTAATTTATTGTATTTGTATAAAATTATATTATAATTACTTCCTAGTTTCAAATAGAAGGCAAACTCGAGGTTGCATTGATGGATAGAACTCATGAATGTGGATAAAATAACGCAATGCAGATGACTTTAAACGATAATATCAAAATAGGATAGAGGATGGATATAATTCTTATATTATTATATAGAAGAAAGTTCACTGAAAAGATTTTTACTTCTTAGATTATGGAACTTTACGGGACTTGAAAGATATTGCTCGTCGAAAATAAAAAATTTAATTTTCTTCATTTTGTTCAATGTTTTTTAAAAATATATCATGTATCTATCTATAATTATTAATGAGAAGTATTTCTCATCAAGAAAAACCATTTTTTATCATAGAAAAAAAAATTCAGGGTAAAAAATTAGAGTTGTCAGGATATTTTAAAGAAGAAGAATCAAATTATTTGGTGAGAATCGAGAGACAATATAACGATATAAATTAAACATGACACTATAAATTAAAAGAATAAATGAGAAAGTTGATTTTTTTTGCAAAATTCGAAAATTCGTGAATTTACTATATGGCGTAATGAGCACCAGAAATGTATGGGAAAGATTCCTAAAATTTTTCGTTCCCACATCTGGTGGTAATTCTATGTCAAAAAACGATGCGCAACATTTCTGGTACGCACTTGAACTTGATTTATGACATCGCAATTGCTATTATGCGAAAAAAATTCCTTTTACTCGAACTAACTAAGATTTATAGGGAATCTGCAAATCTCTAAATTGTCTATACGTGTCTATGCGATAGAAGTAAAATCTCTAATTTGACGAGCAAATTTTGAAACACATTAATAATACGTTAGCTTTAATATTTACAATTGTATCTGTAAATTGTAACTGTTCGTAAATGCAGTTATATCTGTATCACGAAGATTTGTTGAAAAGAGAATTAATAAAAAATTAATTATATTTATGAAAAACGACAATATTATTTGCGTTTTTCATAAATATTTTTCATAATTATTTCCGTTTTTCATAATTCATTTGGTTTTCTCAATATAATGAAGACAAATAAAATAAAAAATTATTTTTGTTTTATATAATATTAAATACAGAATAAACGTATTCTTGAAAATCAGAAATATGTATTACATTATTTTTGACATTATTTAAATGATTTAACTAAAAATTATACTTTTAATTATCGTATATTATTTAAGTATCGCATACTTATTATTGAAATATAAATTTGCCCAAATGATTCAAATAATGTGCGGATAGTCGATACTTCGGGTCGAGTCGGATAATTTTGGTTGAGCCCGGGCGGATTCGGAAACATACAAAAAATCCTTTAACTCGCCTGTTTCGCTAGTTTAACTTCGCTAGTTTAAAAGATTTCATCGAGTCGAAGGAAAGAACAGTAACAGAAATTTGGCAACCATG